AGTGCGCACGCGCAGTGCGTGCGACCGCGGCCAAGATGTCGGGCCCGGGGCTGGTGGCTGGGGACGTGGTGGTGGATGCGCTGCCCTACTTCGACCAGGGCTACGAGGCCCCGGGCGTGCGGGAGGCGGTGCGTGCGGGGCCGGGGTGGCTGCGGAGAGGGGCTGGGGCTGGGGCGGCGGGCGGGCCGCTCGCCTGACGCCCCGTGTGCTTTAGGCCGCGGCGCTGGTGGAGGAGGAGACGCGGCGGTACCGGCCGACCAAGAACTACCTCAGCTACCTGCCCGCACACGACTACAGCGCCTTCGAGGTGAGCTGAGGCGGCCTAGCAGCTCCCAGAGCCCAGCCCAGCTCCTCCCCGTACCCCGAGCGGGCTCCGACGCCCCCGTAGCCCGCTTGTCCCTAGTCCGTAACCTGGCTGTGACATTCCCGGCCTGTCTCCGTCCTTCCCCGCACACCCGTCTGCTATGCCCGCCGCTGTACCCACAGAATCACCAGGTTGGAAGAGACCTTCAAGATCTTCGAGTCCAACCCATACCCCAATACCTCAACTAAACCATGGGACCGTATCCACTCTTTTTTAAAACGCATGCAGGGATGGTGACTCCACCACCTCCCCAGGCAGACCATTCCAGTATTTTATCACTCTTTCCGGGAAGAACTTTTCCCTAACGTCCAACCTAAATTTCCCTTGGCGCAGCTTAAGGCTGTGTCCTCTCGTTCTGTTAGTTGCTGCCTACCCTCCCCACCCCGCATCCCGCTGTGTCTCCGCCCGTGCCCCGGCTGTCCCTCCCCCGTTACCCGTTTGTGCCTTGTCCCCGTCCTCCTCAGACAAACCCCGCTTGTGTTGCACCCTGTTCCCCACCTGTCCCTCACCGCTGCCTTTCTGCAGACTGAGATCATGCGGAACGAGTTTGAGCGCCTGGCGGCCCGGCAGCCCTTGGAGCTACTCAGTATGAAGAGGTGAGTGGGGCTGGCCTGGGCAGTGCCTGGCCCAGGTGAGCTGTGCCCGGTGCCCAGGTGAGCTGTGCCCTAGGTGAGCTGTGCCCTTTACAGGTACGAGCTGCCCGCCCCCTCTTCTGGGCAGAAGAACGACATCACAGCGTGGCAGGAGTGTGTGAACAATTCCATGGCACAGCTGGAGCACCAGGCCGTGCGCATCGAGAACCTGGAGCTCATGTCCCAGCATGGCTGCAACGCCTGGAAGGTGTACAATGAGTAAGGCCTCAGATGCTCTGCTCAACACCAAATTCTCTGTTGAATTTCTGTGTATTTATTGTATGTAAATCCAGTGGGGAATCTTTAGAATGTAGCCTGGAATAGATTAACCTCTGTGAGAGAGCTGTGAGTGAAAGAGGAGGCTGATCTCAAAGCTGTCTCTGTGACCAAGGACAGCATGTGTTTTAACACATCTCAGTCTTGAATGTTGTTGGTTATTGTTGATGACAGTGGGTGTTAATTAAGACTAGTGATAGCCTGTGAAGGAATAACTCAGTGGTGGAAATGAGGATGAGTTACTACAGATCCTGGGTTTAGTCTGGAGTCATAATAAAGCTGCTGCAAAAGCCAAGAAAAGTTTGTAGAGGATGGCTGCAGGAAGCACTGGGGCTTATTCAGACAGAGAATGTTAATGTCCACTTTTGAGAAGGGTTAGCTGAGCCTTAGATAAAAGAGTAGGCCAAAGAAATGGCAAACGTAGCTCAGAGAGAAGGCAGAGGGTTCCTGAGCTCAGGAGAAGGGAAGCAGGTGAAGGATCTGCTGGCTGGGACAAGGTATTTGGGTTGCAGGGGCTTGTTGAATCCTTAACTCTGAGAAGTTAAATGTCAGATGAAATGATTTAGCTGATCAGGCTGATTTAGCACTTGTGTGTTTTTAATGCTTTGCTTGCATTTTGTCATCAGGCACCTGGTTCATATGATAGAACAAGCCCAGAAAGAGCTTCAGAAATTGAGGTGGGTCGTTCTTATTTATATTTTTGTACTGAAATTGGAAGTGAACCTTTCTCTCCCCCCAAGCTGTACAAAGGAAGATGTATGTGCTGGCTGCTGCCATGGTCACAGGGAAAAAGACCCAGTTAAAACAATAATTAAGAAATGTGACCTTGCCCTTCCCAAGCAGTTACACTCATCATGTCTGTTCTTTTCAAAATTCTGTGTTTGGTTTGTTCGAACTTCTGCTCTGGATTTGTGGAATCCTCCCTGAAATGTAGTAGTGCTTTCTTTTCACTGCTGATAATTTAATGTGCAGTTGTGTCTGTAGGGACATTGTCCCTGAAGCTGGGTTTGGCCCTTTATTTATCTCAGGGTTCTCTGTGAACCCTGTACTGGGATTTGTCCCTCTGGATGTTGTCATTACAGTCCTGGCTACACAAATGTTTTCTGGCAGTACTTCTAGGGATTGAGTGTACTTGGAAATTAGCAACAGGTACTGCAGATGCTAAAAAAAAGAGGAAATAAAAATACATCTTTTTCTCCCCAGGAAAAACATTCAAGACCTTAACTGGCAGAGGAAGAACATGCAGCTCACAGCTGGGGCTAAGCTGCGAGAGATGGAATCCACGTGAGTATTGGCATTCTCTATTAACCCCTTCACAGGTTTCTCTATTGTTTGAAATTTACTTGAAATTCTTCTTCCACTGGAAATTGAGTGATCCTTTGGTGCTGCTGTAGGATACTGTTGCTTTGCAGAAAGTGTTTTAAAGTATTTATAGTTTGGTTCCATATTATATTTATTGAGGTTGAGTGATCAACAGATAGGAACAGGATATATTTATTAGCTGCTTCAAATTTCCTAAATTGTCTTAAAACACTTCTTTATCTCAATATTGGCAGTTAGTGGATGAGTCTAGTCTTATATCTTGTGTGTTTTCAGGTTTAAGAGGGTTAAAAATTTCTCATTGTCACTTTGGTTGTTCGAATGACCATTGATGTCAACTGAGGATATCATGTGTTAAGAGAAATACTGCTTTATTTGGCATTTATACTTGCTTTGGAGCAATGGTTGTCTTTGATTTTAAACCAGAGGACTGTTAAATAACACATAAAGGCTCTTTTTATTTCTTTTCCCTTCCAGGTGGGTCTCTCTTGTCAGTAAAAATTATGAGATTGAACGAACTATAGTGCAGCTGGAAAATGAAATTTCACAAATCAAGCAGCAGCATGGGGAAGCAAACAAGGAGAATATCCAGCAAGACTTTCAGTGACTTAATCCTGACTTGTCTTAATGCAGCATGTGTTAAAAACTACAAACCAGACACTTAGGAGATGCTGTGTCTGTAGACACCTCTAGTTGCAGTTGCGTGAGGTGGTAAAAGGGTATTTCCATCATTTCTTTTCCTTGTTTTAAATTCAAGGAGGAGGTAGGGTGGACTCAAAACATCCTGTTTAAATGTATTACAGGCACCATTAAATGTACTGTGAATTGTTTCACTTTTTATATACTTAAAGCAGGAGCTTGTGTTGTTGTGTTTCCCCCTACGCCTTTAATAAATCCTGTTTTGCTATTTGTCTGGTTTCTGCTTCATGTCCAAAGCCCAGGAGCTGTGGAGGAGATGGCTGGGCCAGGTGGACCCCAGAATTCCCTGCAGGGGCAGTGTGGGGAAGCGGGACTTTGGGGTGGGGAAGTCTGCAGTTCCCACAGAGGGGGCTCTGCTGCCACCTCCTGCACTGTTCCTCATCCCAGGGCATTATTCCTGATCTTGCTCCTGCCCTGTTCCCTGTCCCCATGCACTGACTCCCATCCCCATGCACTGCTCTGTGCCCCAGTGCCCTTTTCCCTGTGCCAGTGGGCCATTTCCCATCTCGCTGCTCTGTTCACCATCCCACTGTGTTATTCCCAGTCCAGGTCTGCGATTTCCTCTCTTGGTGCCCTGTTTTCCATGCTGGTCCATCATCCCTATCCCAGTGCATTATTCCCCATCCTGGTGCCCTATTCCCCTTCCCCGTGGGTATTCCCTAACCCAATGGGTTGTTCCCTAGCCCGGTGCCCTATTCTGCCCCCACTGGTGCATTAGTCCCTATCCCTATGGGTTATTCCCCTTCCCGGGCCGTTATTCCCCAGCCCAATGGGTATTCCCCATCCCGATGGATTTCCCCCGTCTTCATGCCTTATTCCCCGGTGGGTTATTCCCCTTCCTGATGCGTTTTTCCCCTCCCCCATCGGTTATTTCCCAGGCTGTGTGAGTCATTTCCCGTTAGGAAGGGTTATTCCCCACCCCGGTGCGTTATTCCCCCTCCCGATGGGAATTCCCCAGCCTGGTGTGCTATTCCCTGTTTCCAGTGCGTTATTCCCCGGCTCGGTGCTCTGTTCTCGCTGCTCTATACCCGGTGCTCTCTTCTCCATCCCCATTCCCGTTCCCGGCGCGCGGTCCCGGGGGGCGTGGCCACGCCCCAACTGCTACCGTCCATTGACTGGGCGGCCGCCAGCACCGCCCAATAGACTCTTAGCGCTTGGCCCAGTGACCGCCCAGAGCCCCGCCTCCCTGTGACGTCACGGCCCGCCCTCCCGACCCTACCGTTGCCGCGGGAGCGCGCGCGCGCGCGCGGCGCCGGTCCCGCCCGGTGACGCGGTGACGCGGAGCGTGCGCGGAGCGGGGTCGGGTTCAAAGGAGGAAACATGGCGGAAAACAAAGGAGGCGGCGGCGGTGGGGACGCGGCTGCCGAGGCCGCGCCGGGCAGCGGCGGCGGCCCGGAGCCTCCCGCCGGCTCGCCGTCCACCGCCGTGCCGCCCGAGGAGCGCGAGAGCCCCGGGGCGGCGGCGGCGGAGCGCGGCGGCGCCGAGGCCGAGGCCGAGGCGGCGGCAGGGCCCGGTGCGGCAGCGGGGCCCGGCCCCAGCCCGGTGCCGCCGCTGACACCCGCGGCGCCGGGGCCGTTCTCGCTGCTAGACACGTGTGCGGTGTGCGCGCAGAGCCTGCAGAGCCGGCGGGAGGCCGAGCCCAAGCTGCTGCCCTGCCTTCACTCCTTCTGCCGCCGCTGCCTGCCCGAGCCCGAGCGCCAGCTCAGCGTGCCCGTGCCCGGCGGCGCCAACGGCGACGTGCAGCAAGGTGAGCGCGGCGAGCGCGGGGCTCTCTGGTACGTCCCGCCGGGAGCGGCCCGCCTGCCCCGCAGCGCGGGGCTCGCCCGGGCCCGCCCGGCCTCTCTCGGGAGCGCGCGGCCGTTGCGGGCCCGAGCCGCGGTGCTGCGGGAGGGCACGGGCAGCCGGGGCCGGGGCAGTTGTTGGGATGAGGAGTGCGGACGGAGTCCTGAGGGTGTCTGTCGCAGGAAGGAGGGACGCGGACCTGGTGGAGCGGGCGCCGAGTTGGTCAGAGGGATGGAGCAACTGTGCTGTGAGGAAGGCTGAGGGGACTGGGATTGTTCAGCCTGGAGAAGCTCTAGGGAGACCCTAAAGCCGCTTCCGGTGTCTAAAGACAGTCTGTAATAAAAACGGGGACGGACTTTTTAGCAGCACCTGTTGCGATAGGACTGGGGATAATGGTTTTAAACTGGAGCTAGATCGGTTTAGATTAAGTATAAACAAAAAATGTTTACCGTGAGGGTGTTAAAACACCGGAACAAGTTGCTCAGGGAGGTAGTGGAAACATTCAGTGTTAGGCTGGACCAGGCTCTGAGCATCTAAGCCGTCTAAGATGTCCCTGCTCGTGGCAGGTGGGTTGGACTAATGACCTTTAAAGGCTCTTTCTAACCCCAAATATTCTGTCATTCTCTCCTGTCTGTTTTGTTTCGGCTTTCAGGGGTGGCACAGCGAAGGCGAGTCAGGAAGGGGGTGGGCAGCTCGGTTCTACAGCGCTGGGGTAAAACGTGTCTAATTAAATTCAGATGTTCTGTTGTTGCAGTATTGCCTGCCCAGGTGGGAACGCTGTGTGCACTGCACCTGCTTTCCTGTGCGCTGAGATAAAGCCTTGCAGTACTGTTTGTCACCTGTGCCCCAGGGCTCTGCCTGGACAGAACTTGTGCTAGGGAACAGGAGTACGCTGCTCCTTCCATGTGTTCTTATCAGAATCACAGCTTGGGGTTAATTTTTCATTTCTAATATGTGTTCAGGGATGGAATTGAAAAGCTTCTGGAGCTTTAGATGGGATGACTCATGTGCTGTGGTGTACAGACCAAAGTAGGGCCCTGCTAAGTGGTTTTGCAGGTCCTAAATGGGCACTATAGTCAGGGAGACCTTGTTTGGTGACACCTTTGCACTCAAACCTTCCCTGTGTTCCCCAGTGAAGGAATTAACCTGGCATGGTAGAGATTTTTTCATCCCGACTGTTCAGAAGTTCATCTGGGATGTGCTTTTAGAAAGTTCATCGGTTTTAAGAAGATGATGTATTAAATACAGTTTGACAATGCACTCAGTAAAGCACTCAGATGGTCTTGTGATCCGTGCTTTTAAATTCCAGGTTCTACATTTTGTGTAATATCATGGAGTGTCAGAGTGGTTTGGTTTGGAGGGGACTTTAAAGCTCATCCAGTGCCACCCCTGCCCTGGACAGGGACACCTTCCACTGTCCCAGGTTGCTCCAAGCCCCATCCAACCTGGCCTTGGGCACTTCCAGGGATCCAGAGGCAGCCACAGCTGCTCTGGCACCTGTGCCGGGGCCTCCCACCCTCACAGGGCAGTGATACACCAGTGACATACACAGAACCCAGGAAGCAGGGTTTATTTTATTAGAAATTAGCAGGATTATCCGAGTCCTGCTGTGTCTGTAGGATACAGGTATGAGAACCACTGTGTACAAGCTGGAATATCACTTCCTGTTGTACACGTTTTAAGAATGCTTGTTGGTGTGCTTTGATGTAGGGTTCATGTTTGGACTGTTGCAGTAAAAAAGTTTTAGATGGAGTGAGCAAGGTACAGGGGACTGGAGCATCTTTCTTGTGAGGAGAGACTGTGGGGCTGGGCCTGGTTTGTCTGGAGAAGAGAAGACTGAGAGGGGATCCCATCAATCCGTATGAATATATCCAGGGTGAGTCAGAGGATGGTGTGAGACTATTCAGTGGTGCCCAGGGCAGGACAAGGAGCAATGGCCATAAATTATAACACAAGAAGTTCCACCTGAATGAGAAGGAAGTTTTTTCTGTGGAGGGTGGCAGCTGCCCAGGGAGAGGGTGGAGTCTCCCTCTCTGGACACATTCCAAACCCACCTGGACACATTCCTGTGTCACCTGCTCCAGTTGACCCTGCCTCAGCAGGGGTTGGACTGGAGGTGCCTTCCAACCCTAGCTGTTGCGGGAGTGTCCTGCAGGGCTGTGTGATCCAGCTGTGGATCCAGCTGTAGATCCAGCTGTGGTGGCACCTCAGCCTGCACGAGGACAGGAACTGGCAGCAGCTCAGCTGAGGATGGGCCATGAAGAAGCATTTTTGTGGGCAGCTCTCTGCACCTTGAGAGTAGAATCAGCTGTGTGGCACAGGAGATGGTAACCAGTAAATCAGATAGAAAATGGACATTCTGAGCCTCCTGAGGAGCAGCGCAGTGCCTAGTGACGCAGGTTCCTTCCCTGTTTTGGTAGTCACAAAGTGTGAAGTGTTACTTCCACTTCTCCTGATTTTCAAGTCTCCTTCATGATGAGCAGGTGCTTTTTCATGAAGGAAGAATTAAACAGAAGTGGTACCTGTAGCTGTACCTGAGGTGGGTTGCACTTTATTACAGTTTTACACTTCTGGGTGGTGTGCCTGCTATCTTTCAGCATCTCTTCACACAGACCAGAGAAGTACAAGTGATATTTTCCTTGTTGCTTTCTTAGTTTCAGAGTTTGCTCAGTGAGAACTGTCAGGACTTAAAACAGTATATACATGTATTTATTGGGTAAAAACTGTGGAAATGGAATGTGAGCTTGGTGCTTGCAGAGCAGTTCTTTGAGTGACAGCTCCTTTCCTGGAGAGAGCAGTAAGGATGCTGGAGACAATGGTGTTGGGTCTGGATCAGCATCTCTGCTCCTGCCAGGCTCCCACTCCCTTCAGAACCACTCCTAAAGAAAACAGAAGAATCATCGCAATTCCTAAAAGTTAGAGAACCCCTGACTAAAGCTTAAAAGAATGATCTGAAGTTGTGGTTTGCTGTATGAAAAACAAGTACTTGGTAGGTTCATACTTGTTTTGTTGGTGAAAGATGTTTATTTTGCTGTTGGTTACATTTATGCGAGGAAAAAAATAGAAGATTCTTGTTTTATATATTTAACATGAAACAAATTAGTAATAAATAAATAAACAAATTAAACATTTGTTTAACATGAAAAGTAGCATCTCATATTCAGTTTAATGTCTTAATTGGTTATGGGAATGTGCATTTTATTTGGTGGATAGATGATTTCGTAGTGGTGTTTCAGCTGTCCAGCTCCTCTTTTCAGATTGAATAGGTTACAAGAAAATGCCTCCATTTGTATCACAGTATTCTGAAAAAAAACCCCAGCTGATTTCTAAGTTAGAGATTTTAGACTGTAACAGATTCTGTAAAACAACTTTTTCTGCACCCACAGCTGCTCCTGCTCCTGGAGGAGAGGTTTTTTTGTGGTTTCA